TCCGGACTAGGTGCGTTCCTCTAATTCTTCCTACCAATATGACCATGTTGCGAAAACAAGGTCAAACAACAGTCTACTCTTTTGTTTAAGCACGCCTCTTAAGGTCATTTATGATACCTTTCTAACTCTGTTGACAAAATTAATTCGACCTGCATGTACGTTGTTCCGTAATCTCTATAATGGTAACTTATCGCATTTACACCTTAAAGGTCAGAACAATCATTTCTCAGCTGACGTAATGCCGAACTAGTCAATTAATACTGGATTAGCAAAAGCCCTTAAAGAGTGAGGTTTGGATTGACAGTCCTTCTTGGCAAACTCTGTCTGATCTAATGTATTGGCCTCTGTACTAACACATTTTCACCCTGTGAGGGTATGCAAAGCTGCCAAACTGCCATGACAGCTAACGCAGATAGCAGAGGAATTTCAATTCACGCTTAATATAAGACACACCAAAAGTTTGCACTATATTCTTTAGAATAGTAGAAATATTAATTAAGTAACCATTGCAAATCTCTTATTTATGCGTGTAGGCACTTATGTCGCTGCAGGACTAGCATTTAGAATGCATATTTGGAGGTATGTTTTCAACACTTTCTGTGCCTCCAGACCATAGAGGGCATAAACCAGTCACTCATATGCTATTCCACTATGAAGTACTAAAGCTTCGCATGTAAAAACAGTTTGGATACAAAATTATCCAAGTGATTTATCTTAAGTGCCCAAACTGTTCACGCAGGCTAAGATGACTTAACTTTCTAAGTAATCTTCGGGTTAGGACAAATTGAAATGCTGACAATATTCGAGGTACCACCTGAGAGGACTGTGGTATAAAAGTCAAGTCACTGATAGACTTTAAGTATTGAGGCGGAAGAACTAGTTAACTCATCGTCATTATAAAATTCAGCAGGCTGGGGAAGAGAGGAGATAACTTTAATGGCGTTCCATGTCTCTTTCGAAGGCTCGATTCATTCTCTTTTATAGACCAGAAAACGCAGCACCAGTGAGGAAAGCATTTTAGGCTACTACTTCTTCACTCGTCATTAATTGCAACAGACCAGATTCTTAAATTGCTGATGAAATATCTTCATTTCGTCCTTTATATCATGATATTGACTTTTTCAAAATGCTTCCGTTATTGTATTATTCTATAATAAATTTGTCTCAAAACAATTGGACTTTCATTGAAAGGATATTTATGTTTTTCGTCTGATGACACTAGCTTCCAGGATGTGCTTTGCTCCACATTTTTCCCAGTATGTTACGAGATTTCAGCTGTCTTCATTTTAATTTAGCTTGATGAAACTGGAATTTCATTTGCGACAGTAGCGTTGTGATGTCGTTACAATACGATATATTTTTTAATTTATAGTTTGGTGGCCTTAGTCTTACCAATTTCTTGTATTTTCTCCCATTCATTGCTTTATATTTGTAGGACGTTACTCAAAATGCTACACTTCAAAACCCCTGTCTTCTGCAGGGCTACAGGACTAGTCTAAACGCAACCGAGCTTTTCAACGATCCCTGCATATTTGGCGACTTTGCTACGACAACATTTGGATTGTCTTTCTCGAAACCTCGAGTGAGTTGGCTTATCGTAATAAAGCATAAAAACAAGTTGCCCAAACCACTGGCATACCCGGACTTATATAATTGGTCCGAAATTTAACTTAGCAAAGAGGATAATGTCTTACTAAACTGCTACAAGATTCATCACGACTCAAAGTTCTATGGGCTTAAATATACCACTATCTAAAGCAGTATTTAGTCAGCTAGCATGACTCAGCATATTCTTCGTACTCGCTGGCCCTTATCAAGCCTTTAATAGCCTATTTCTTTTGCTAACTTTTTCTAACTTAGCAAGCATAACTGGAGACATACTTAACTGGTCTCGTAGAGAATCTTAAAACTCGTATAAATCAGGAATGTCTTCGGACGCCAATGTCAGTTTCAACGACCTTTCTCCCCACTTATAAAGTGGCTAAGAAATCGGTTATGAAGGCTGTGTCAAAACAGGCTCGAAATCCTTGCTTTAAATTATTTCTGCAATCTAGGGCTTATCAACCAGTCAACTGGCCGAATCATTTGTACCAAGTAAGCCATTTCACCTACTCAACGAATTTTATTAGCCCAGAAATTGACCAGTGAGGTAATTAAGATATTTATATCACTTTAGTTGGCACTGGGTATAAACCGCGTTACATTCTTTGCACTTTTATTTAATTATTTATTAATCTTTTCGCTATCAGCTTATTCTATCTGCTATTTCTTCTTTGACTTGCCGAAATTAGCCAAAATGACTCTGACAAAGAACTTAAATATCGTTTAAAAATTGTGCTAATCTTTTGGGGTTGTAGAACATGCCATGCAGCTCTAAGGGATCTCTTGTCTTTAGTCGAACCCTTTGTTTGCTGATTCAGAAGCCCATTTCTTGATGCTGTCATTCTGGAGAGTAGCTAACATAAAATTGCTATTATATTTATTGATTTAAGGAATTTAGCATACTTTAAGTAATCTTAGCACTAGTACTGAGGTTGACCAGCCTGAGTAATAAACCACGACTTTTTTTACTTCCATTCTAGCGGATCTCTGAGAATCTACTAAGGCTAGTAGGGTCCTAAGCCACCCTGCGTGCGGAGTACACTAATCATTCTGATTTTTTTCGTTATTAGCTTATTAATGCTATTTACACAACTTTTTAAAATCTCAGAATATACTGCTTATTCTAATCGCATTTTGGTCATCGGCGTGATATTTACGTGCTTGGATCATTTGGCTAGGTTAAAAAAATTACTTAGTGAGTATGCAAAGACTAATGTGCAATAATTTAAAATCAATTATACCACGCTCATAGGACTTTTTGAGTATTGCTTGGTCAGCTGGAGGCAGATACCGAATCTAGCCAAGTTGGAAGTATTCATTATTCTCTTATGGAGGATATTTAAAAACGTAAGTTGAACCAGATTAAAATCGCTCTCAACGCTTTCACCGCTCTTAATAAGATTTTTAACACGAACCAGTCAAAAGTGAATCAAATGGCAAGAATCGAACCCTTGCTCTTGCCGACCAGATACAGATGTACTTAGTGAAGCTACCCTGAATTCATTTGTTTATTTTATTCATGGCCGATTGAGCCGAGAACTTTCAAGTACTATGATTTTTAGTCACTGTAAACTTTGGAGGTAAATCATACAATTAGAAAGGCTGGAGAAATAAATAGATACCACATTGGCTGAATATAGAAGTAAAACCTTCAAGTTTTATAGGTTTCTCATATTCCAATATATATCTATACAACTTTTGAGATATCGGGCCATTTTTTACAGGGAAGCCCTCTAAAACTATATTGCTCAAAATTGATGTAGAACCTTGTAACATTATATAGGTTTTTCATATGATCGCTTTTTTCGATGCCTATGATAATACCTTTGAAAGGCGTATTAAGTAGAAGGAAAGTTACTTATTGTTTTTATAGTTTCCTTTAACGGACTTTGTTTGTCAATTAGCTTTCTATATCGCCTTCTCATTTTTGTTCCGTTTGTCTTATACATCTCCAGGTAACAAAAGTCAACCATCCTAGTGATTCCCTTAAATTCGAATATCTTTTGCTTTAATGAAGTTTTTCGTCTTCTAGATTAAAGGAAGTTGTTATTTTGTATTCCTATTGGTCTAAGTGAGCAACCAAAATTAGCAAATTTGCTTGTCATTTTAATGTCAAACTGATTCATTTGATTTATTTAGGCGTTTTCCAATGAACAAGAAAACAATATTTTGACGCTATCCGCTACGTCCCAGGCGACGATGAGGGCCAAAAATTCCTTTACCCAGCACCCTTTCCCGGAGAATCTATTTGTTCTGGAAGTACATCTTTGATTCTAGACAGAGATGAAATCGTTTACCCCACATTTGCTTTTTGATTTCGCGCAGAGGACCAATTCTGTCTTCTATGCTCTGGGTTTCTAAGCCTACTCCACACGTCTCAACCGATGTGGTGTCACTTCAAGCTCACCCAAAACTTTAATAAAGTTAGTTCTTTTATTTTGGAACTTTTCAGTGTTACTGCGTGTATAACTCATTCCGGACCAAATATATCGTCAGTTTAATGCTTCAAAGTCCGTACTAGTAAAAGCCTTTGTAAAAATTCGTTTCTCCCCTCCCACTTTAGGCACATCTTAC